TTTTTTGTATTTTTAGTAGAGACGGGGTTTCACAATGTTACCCAGGATGGTCTCGATCTCCTGACCTCGTGATCCGCCCGCCTCGGCCTCCCAAAGTGCTGGGATTACAGGAGTGAGCCACCACGCCCAGCCTGAGTTTAATTTTTATGTAAACATTTTAAATTACCTGTTTTTTGTTTTTTGTTTTTGACACAGGGTCTCTTTCTGTCACCCAGGCTGGAGGCTGATAGTGCGATCTCAGCTCACTGCAACCTCCCCCTCCCTGGCTTAAGCAATCCTCCCACCTCAGTCTCCTGAGTAACTGGGCCTACAGGCATGTGCCATCAGACCTGGCTAACTTTTGCATTTTTTATAGAGACAGGGTCTTGCCATGTTGCCCAAGCTGGTCTCAAACTCCTGGGCTCAAGTGATCCACCCACCTTGGCCTCCTAAAGTGCTTATTACAGGTATAAGCCACCACTCCTGGCCCCTATCACTTTTGAAGAATCAAATTATTAGTAATTATTAGTAAATTGATAGCTGTAATCAGATAAAAATTTTAACATTATTTGAAATACATATCTTCCCCAACATTAAAGTTTTGTTTTTGTTGTTGTTTGTGTTGGTTTGATATTGTTTTCCTGACCCCTCTGGTCTCTGAGTCATATCAAAGTTTTATGCAGTCATCTTTCCTTTCTCTTTCCCTGTAGCTTTACTTTTATCTAAAACTACTTTATAAAAAAGAAGTAAAGGTGGTAATGTTCATTTAAGTGCTGTAACTATTTTGATTTTGTTTTTATTTTAACATAGTACTTAAATTGTTTTCTTTTCCTCCCATCTGGCAAAATTATTTTTTTAGAAATCCCCAAGTGGAATTGTAGCTTTCTTTTTATACTGCCTGTATTTGTCAGGCTAGGTCTGCTCAGGGTTTGCTTACAGACTTACTGCTAAAATGTACTATAATAGCCTCTTTCTTTTTCCCATTCCAGTTTAAAATCACCTTCTTCCTGATTCTTGTTACGAAGCTCTTTCAAAGTGTTTTCTAACAAACTGGGATCTCTTCCAAGTTCCTCCTTGAACAAAGTTACACTAATTGGTCTGTGGATTGTTCCATCAGCCTCATTAGCACCATTATTAGTCTGCCGCTCATCTAAAATAACTGTTGATGATGGTGAATAAACATTTCCTAAATGGTCCATTATAGGAAGCAAATATAATTCTGGTTGAAGAGCCTAAAACATATAGGAAATTTTAAAAGTTAGTTTGTAATTAAAAGCAGTGCTGTAAGTTAAAAATTAGCATAAGTTTAAAATGTCACATTACATACATATGGAGGAGCAAATGATTTGAGTTTCAGTTCTGATTCTTGCTTTTCCTTCACCTAGAAATAAGTAATGAGAAAAAATTAAAACTGTTGCTACATTTTTTTTTCAATTATTTTTACCTCTACTTTTTTTGCAGAAGGCATGTATTTGTGGCAAATATAAAAATCAAATTTAAAAGCTAGTAACTACTGCTAGATTCTAGAAATGAAGAATATAATGTTACTTTTATTCACTGTATCAAACATAATAGAAGTTCTATGTCATTTATTAATAATAACTATGCCTATCACTTACATGGACTTACTATGTCCCTGGCACTATTCTAAGTGCTTTACACTCAGTAAAGATTGTATACCTAGGAAATTTCCAGGTTGGGATTCAAAACCAGGTCATCTGACCCTAGAGTCCAACTTAGTAAACTTTATTTTATTTCCTACATATTCAACCTATAGAGTTCATTTGTTATTTATTTATTTATTTAACAAATATTGGGGGACTGGGCATGGTGGCTCACGCCTGTAATCCCAGCACTTTGGGAGGCCAAGGAGGGCAGATCACTTGAGGTCAGGAGTTCGAGGCCAGCCTGGCCAACATGGCGAAACCCCATCTCTACTAAAAATACAAAAATCAGCCAGGTGTGGTGGCTCCCCCAATTACTCGGGAAGCTGAGGCAGAAGAATCGCTTGAACCTGGGAGGTGGAGGCTGCAGTGAGCTGAGAGTGCACCACTGCACTCCAGACTGGGCAACAGAGGGAAACTCTGTCTCAAAAACAAAACACAAATATTGAGGGCATACTATCTGTCAGGCAGTGTTCTACATGGTATGGATACAATGATAAATAAGGCAAAATTTCTGCTTTCATGGAGCTTATGTTCTACTTGGGAAAGCAGATACTAAATAACTAAATAAACCCAATTTAGGATGGTGATATGTGTTTTATGAAAAGAAAATAGAGTGATGTAATAAAGAGTAACTTGAAGAAAGAATGTCTGAAAACTAGTTGGTCAGGGAAGGCCTTTCAGAAAAGATAATACTTGAGCTAAGTCCTGAATTATGAAAAGAAACAGCCAGCTATCTGAAAATCAGGGAGAAATGATTTCTAGGCAAGTGCAAGGACCAAAAATCAGAAATGAGTCTGCCATATTTGAGGACCAAAGGAAGATTTTTATAGCTGAAGTATGAAACCAAGGAGAAAATGGTCATAGATGAAATTTGAGAGGCAGCTTGTTCCTTAGGCCCTCATTATCTCTTGCCTGAACCACTGTACAACTTTCTTACTGAAATTCTTGCCTCCTCACTTCAATCCATCCTTCTCAGTGAGGCCCAATTAATTTTACTGAAGGTTCTGATCATGTCACTCTTAGTCAAAAACTCCATGGTTTCAAGAAAAAATCCAAACTACAAATCTGGCATTTGAGAACTTCAACAAATGACTTTATAACTTGCATCCCACTATTTCCTTTCATGTAGTCAATGCTCCACTAAAAACAGCATCATTTATTATTTCTCAGTTGTCTGCATTTCTACTTCTGTGCTTAACCTGTTTTCTCTGTTCAGAAAGCTTTTCTCACCCTTCATCTTTGCAAGAACAAATATTTTTCTTTTAGGATCCAAACTGAAATATTGCTTCTTCCTCAAAGTTTTCTACCTCCCCTCTTCCCCTGCTGGAAGTAATCTCCTTTTCTTCTAAATATATAAAATATGATATTTTATTTATTTATTTTATGTATTTTAATCTTCATCACTACACTGAGCACTCTGAGGGCAAGATTTATATCTAGTTCTTTTCTAGTTTTGTATATAGAAAAACGTTAATAAATATTTGTTTAAAATAATAAAATATTACAAGGATTTTAGAAATTGACCTCAATTACTTAGAAAGTCCCTTCCAATCTGGGATTCTATGATTGATATTTTGTACATATACGTATCATGAAAAAACAAAAAATTATGAGAATTGTTAATTTTCTTCCGTTTGAGGAAAGCTAACTAACTGATCAGTAAATTAATATTAATATGCCAAAAGTTATACTAAATAGAATTCTGATGACCAAAACCTCTTCAAATTTAGCTACTGATCCCAAGAATCTCACACAGCAAATTATAGTAGTACTTTGGAAGAAAATGCCTATTTTTTCCATTCTCATTCATGATTTAATTTGTTCAGTAAACATTTAAACACCTCTAGTGCAAAGCACCTTGTTAGGCACTGGTTATAAATACAATGGTGAATAAAATGAAGTCCCTCCCCACAAGGAACTATAATCTAATGGTAGAGTTAGATGTTAAGCAAATATTCACATAAACACATAATAATGATATAATCTGTTAATGAGAGTGAAATAAGAATATGCTGCATTTTAAAGAGTTTAAATATAGAAAATCTTAAGGAAATAAAATTTATATAGATATGAGAGACCAGAAACTTTGAGATCTGATGGCTTGTTAGATTTGAAACTTAAGCTAGGAATACTTTCTACTTATAGAGTATTCTGCCCACTAAGTCATAGAAACTACAAATAAGAGTGTTCAGTAAATAATAGTTGACACTAGTCAGGGATGGTGGCTCACACTTGTAATCTCAGTACTTTGGGAAGCTGAGGCAGGCAGATCACCTGAAGTCAGGAGTTCCAGACCAGCCTGGCCAACATGGTGAAACTCTGTCTCTACTAAAAATACAAAACTTAGCTGGGTGTGGTGTCACACGCCTGTAATCCCAGCTACTCGGGAGGCAGGAGAATTGCTTGAATCTGGGAGGTGGAGGTTGCAATGAGCCAAGATTGCGCCACAGCACTCTAGCCAGGGCAACAGAGCAAGACTCCATCTAAAAAATAATAATAATAATAAAAAATAAATTAAAAAAACCGTTGACACCAAAAAAAATATGTTGGAGCCATATCATTTTCACATCAAATGAGTCTAGTTGTGGCGCAAGCAATGAGAACCCCATTTTTTTTTCCAGAACTCAAGTACTTGCTTAAAACACTTAAAAACTTTCATTTAAATTTAAGAACTTATATGATCACATTTTAAACTGGTATTTCTCTGCTTTGCAAGGAAATTCACACACAGAAAACCCATCATTTTCACGCCCAATAACATGCCCATGCAACCTATCTTTGTTGATCTGTATGTTTAATGATATTTCCATTTTGTTTTGATTGATATTACATATCTAATAATATCTTAAGAAGCTGAGTTGATAAGCATTTAAGAAATATAATTTGAGAAGGTATGGTCTTTCTCAATAAGAAAGAAAAAAAAGAAAACTTACCACAGCTAAATTATTTCCAATGCATTTCAGAAATAAAAATTTTTCTGCAATAGCATCTTCACCCAGGAATTCACCAAGACGCTCCCTCAGGGCTCGTAAAGTAAGTTGAGGAGATACTCTGAAATATTATAAAATTGCCTTACAATATAAAATGAAATAGATTTTGGATATACTAATGATTCAATAACTTTAGTCAGCTATCTCAAACACAAAGGTTGATTTGATGTGTCAGATATAGCTTAATATATTATGTTTCTACACTGCTGGCATTTTATAGGTCTTCCATAAATATCTCTTAAAATAAATAATTAGAAGTCTGCCTTTAAAATTATGCAAATAAACACTGTTTATAAATGTTTTGTACTGAAAAGGAAAATGACTGTCTCTTAGAAATCTACTTCCAAATTTTATTGTTAAAATTTGCTGTGGAATAGATGTACCTTTATACATACATTAATGAATGATTTAGCCACAGATATTTATTTTGGAAGTTTGGTAGCAGTAGCTAGTGCTTAAAATTTTTTAAAATAATCTAACATTGCCAGATTCCACATCTTTGTTTATTAGGGATACTTTGCTCCTGAATATCTAAAATTTAAAGCCATCACTTATCTATCATCTGAGCTCTTGTTTTTCTAGGACCTTATGAAAAATATTAGATAATTCATTCAATCAACATATATTTGTTGAGCATCTATTATGTGTCAGACATTGTTCCAAGGGATGGGAATATGGCAGTCAACAAAACAAAAATCTCTGCCCTCATGGACTTTATAATCTAGTGGTGGGATAGAAAAATTAATGAAGTAAATAAGTAAAAAAATGTAATCCATAAGACACTACTAAGTACTACAGAGAAAAATAAGGCAGGGAAGGGAGAAAGGGACTGTACAAATGATTTAAAATATAGTGATTAGAGAATATTCACACAAAAAGGTAATATGTGAGTAAAGACCTGAAGGAAATGGGAGAGCATATGGTTAGGGCAGAAAACTCATTCTAGACAAAAGGAACAGAAAGTACAAGGGTCCTGAGGTAGGGCTATGTTACAGAACAGAAAGGAGGCTGATGTGGTTGAAGAAAGTGATGATGAAGATTAGGAAGAGAGGTGTGCTAAAGGGGTAACAACAGGCAGTCAGATCACATAGTGTTATGTGTCTTTTTGGGAATGTGAAAATACACATCTACATACATATAAACACATGTTCTTTGTTTATATTTTTAAACAGTTCAGAGAAAGAGGCATTGTAGATATATTGCTTTAACTACTATTCTCAGATCTTCAGCAGTCCTTC